GCTCAAAAGTAAATATTATCGCAATCATCAAGACACCTTCACGTTTTTTTCGTTGTTTGAGTGCAACCATGACCTCGTGGCGCGGCAGCATGAGACCATATGATTCTTGGCATTCGAAACAATACCAAGTCAACACACCACCAAGAGCATTTCAAGCACACACACACAACACCAGCATTGGAACGAACCACCGAGCCCACAAGGCACAAAGCGGTACGACCGCAACTTACCGAGCAGTTTCCAGCCAGACAATGAACACTTTGACACCAAACACCAGTATGGCTTGACGTTTCCACGCCAAATCACATCCACAGCTTGGAGCCAAAGGTACCAACTTGCAGGCCGACCCATCGAAAGTATCCACCTACGTCAATTGGCATACATGGGATGGTCCAATTGGATGGACATGGGCATCAAAGCAAGCGGTGCGGAAAACACTACTACCTCAGCACACACCACCACTCCTCGCAGTGTAAGTGATGCTCCTCGACAAACCACAATCACCGACCTACAGGATAGCATCCAAAATCTACCAGGCACAAACACCACACGTCCTTTCACCACAGCCGCACCGCACACACTCGTAACCAAAACAGTGGACGCTTGGATTAAAAAACAGCCAGTTCCAAAACAACACCAAGCAGCCCTTCAGGAGGCATTGAGCACATTGCATCAACTTATGAAGAACATCCCAAAAGCCGAGCAAAGCACGTTTGCAGACAAAGCAGCATCGCTTGGTTTGCCGGTGGCGCTGGCGGCAAAGGCGCGCAATGAGGAGCTCTACAAGCTGCCGCTGTTTGCGGTCACTCAACTAGAGTGACTAGACCGCGGCGATCCGGATCATGTACAGTTTTCGGCGGCATGCGTTGCGTTTTTCGGATTCTTACAACATTTTCCACCTGACGATTTCTATGACACTGTTGCTTATCGAACATTCCTACGTGTTGCAGTTGGTTTTTGTTTTCTTCATTGGTGTACCAATCAGGTTCATCAACAATCATGTCGAAAATGGAATCGGAGATTTGACAGAACATGTTTAAAGTCTGTTCGCACTTTTGTACAGTTGCAACAAATGTTCTGTCAATCCAACACTGTATATATACTTCTTCATGCAGTTGTCATATCGGGACTCAACATTCGTCTTTCCAGCACAGAACACTACATCGGCAGTACCATACACACGCTACACGACCGTCAGAACACCAGACAACGCAAGCTCAGACAATTAAAACCAGCACAACCTGTGTCATGCAAGTTGGCACTCCATTGGTTTTGCAGCCAAAACAACTATCATCAATTTGTCGCATTGCCGTTGTTACCCACCAATACAACATTACAAACACGAACGCTGGAAAGCTACATCATCCAAAAGTGGTGTCCACCACTCAACTACCCGTTTATCTTACAACGACAAGTCACAAAACAACACTCAACACCACACTTACGACAAGCACTACGCACCACTTATTTGGGAATCGGACACCGGCTCTACGCTCAGCTTCGACGACGACTTATGTGCAACACACAAGCATCACAGAACACACAAGCATCAGCACCTTTCTACCAACATTCTCTCAGACTCCACAACAACATGATCCAGCCGGACACACTATACCACACTCAATGCAACCACAGTGTGCCACTGCAGCTTTCAGACAGCCTTTTGCTCCAACTCCACAACAACAACCACAACAACTTATGGGACACACCGTCCCACAGCCAACACAAGCACCATTTGCCAACTCTGCGTTTACACAACCTCTATGCTTTCAACACACAACATCACAGCACAGCCATGCCATGTCTTCAGCCACCACCACATTACAATGCAGCCATACCCAATCTTCAGCTCTCACCACCACAATATGGATCATTCGTCACTTACCAGTCTACACCACAGTCAACAAGCACAACACTAGTACAACCAGTACCAGCCACGCCATTTTCACAGCAATTTCCAACCACTACAGCTTCAACTCCACCACTGAGTCACAACAAGCACAGCCGTACACGATCTCGCACCACACGCAAGAAGCACAGATCCACCACCAGGCGACGCAGACGACACAGATCTACAAACCGACATTGCTTCTTCGGCATACTTGCTGATTGGTTCTTTGGTCAAGCAGGAGACTTGATTTTATACCTAATATATTCACTTCAAACCACCAGTCTTATCCGTTCAGTTTCAACTCCAAAAAAGTTTGGTTTGTTTGTAATTTGGTTTTCGACATATGGGACACAAGACCAACAGCGCTGAGGGGTCATTTTCTTCGCATTCAGTCCAAAACAACCACACCGAGGGAAGTTGTTCTTGGAAAAATCGTGTCCAGCGGCTTGATATACGTCTAAGTGGAAACCTTGGATCTAAGAGAACAAGCAGCGGAATGGAAACATCGTGCCCTAGTGGCTTGCTGTGTGTGAGAAACCCTGAATCAAAGGGAAAAGCAGGGGGCCCATGGACGCATAGATGGCACGGGCCAACGAAGACCCATCTATGTCGTCGTGAAAACGTACCTGCATCCGAAATGGCAAGGTGGCCAAGCCAAAAACCACCCATGCCGACATGCCATGACATGACATGACATGACATGACATGCTAATGTAACAACACGACATGACGGTTATCATTTCATCTCATTTCACCCTCTCCATTATGGAGTTTACCAAAGTGTGTGTGTGTGTCAAAGATTGTGTCTGACGAAGCTGTGTGAAAGATGGTGCGTCAAAGATGGTGGGTGACAAAGTGGTGTGTGAAAGACGGTGTGTGACAAAGCGATGTGTCAAAGGTGGTGTGTCAAAGATGGTGGGTGACAAAGATGGTGTGTCAAAGATGGTGGGTGACAAAGTGGTGTGTGAAGGATGGTGTGTGTGAATGATGGTGTGTGACAAAGTTGTGTGTGTGTGTGACGAAGTTGTGTATGAAAGATGATGCGTCAAAGATGGTGGGTGACAAAGAGGTGTGTAAAAGGTGGTGTGTCAAAGATGGTGTGTCAAAGATGGTGGGTGACAAAGTGGTGTGTGAAAGATGGTATGTGACAAAGTTGTGTGAAAGATGGTGTGTCAAAGATGGTGGGTGACAAAGTGGTTTGTGAAAGATGGTGTGTCAAAGATAGTGGGTGACAAAGCTGTGTGTGAAACATGGTGTGTCAAAGATGGTGGGTGACAAAGTGGTGTGTGAAGGATGGTGTGTGAAAGATGGTGTGTGACAAAGTTGTGTGTCAAAGATGGTGTGTCAAAGATGGTGTGTGACCAAGTGGTGTGTGAAAGATGGTGGGTCAAAGATGGTGTGTGAAAGATGGTGTGTGCCAAAAATGGTGTGTGAAAGATGGTGTGTCAAAGATGGTGTGTGTGATAGATGGTGTGTGACAAAGCGGTGTGTGAAATTGTGGTGTGACAAAGTGGTGTGAAAGATGGTGTGTCAAAAATGGTGGGTGACAAAGTGGTGTGTGAAGGATGGTGTGTGAAGGATGGTGTGTGAAAGATGGTGTGTGACAAAGTTGTGTGAAAGACGGTGTGTCAAAGATGGTGTGTGTGTGTGACCAAGTGGTGTGTCAAAGATGGTGTGTCAAAGATGGTGTGTGAAAGATGGTGTGTGACAAAGTGGTGTGTGAAAGATGCTGTGTGACAAAGCTGTGTGTCAAAGATGGTGTGTCAAAGATGGTGGGTGACAAAGTGGTGTGTGAAAGATGGTGTGCAGATGGTGTGTCAAAGATGTTGGGTGACAAAGTGGTGTGTGAAGGATGGTGTGTCAAAGAGGGTGTGTCAAAGATGGTGTGTGACAAAGTGGTGTGTGTGTAAGATGGTGTGTGACAAAGATGGTGTGTGACAAAGTGGTGTGTGAAAGATGGTGTGTGAAAAATGGTGGTGTGTCAAAGATAGTGGGTGGCAAAGTTGTGTGTGAACGATGATGTGTGAAAGTGATGTGTGACAAAGTTGTGTATGACAAAGTTGTGTGTGTGTGACCAAACCGCATCAACACTCAACCAAATCTGTGTGAAAGATGATGTGTGACAAAGTTGTGTGTGTGTGACAAAGTGGCATGTGACAAATAATTAGGTGCCACACCTGCCACGCAACACACAGGTGGATGACGCCAAGTGCCACGCCTGCCACGCAAATGAGACGTCAATGTCACCAAGTGCCATGCCTGCCACGCAAAGTGGCACGGCGCCCCGGGCGACAAACCGCGCCCAAGCGCGCCAACAGAGCCAGCCCAGTGCCATAAGTGCCACGCCTGCCACGCAAAGTGAAGGTGGATGTCACCAAGTACCACGCCTGCCGCGCAAATGGGACGTCAATGTCACCAAGTGCCACGCCTGCCGCGCAAAGTGGCGCGTCGCCCCGGGCGACAAACCGCGCCCAAGCGCGCCACCAGAGCCAGCCCAGTGCCATAAGTGCCACGCTTGCCACGCAAAGTGAAAGTGGATGTCACCAAGTACCACGCCTGCCACGCAAATGGAACGTCAATGTCACCAAGTGCCACGCCTGCCAGTGACAAAGTTGTGTGTCAAAGAAGGTGTGTGACAAAGTTGTGTGAAAGATGGTGTGTGAAAGATGTTCTGTTCTGGGTGACAAAGCTGTGTGTCAAAGAGGGTGTGTGGCAAAGTTGTGTGTGAAAGATGGTGTGTGGCAAGTTGTGGGTGAAAGATGGTGTGTGACAAAGTTGTGGGTGACAAAGTTGTGTGTCAAAGAGGGTGTGTGACAAAGTTGTGTGTGAAAGATGGTGTGTGACAAAGTTGTGTTGACAAAGTTGTGTGTCAAAGAGGGTGTGCGGTGTGTGACAAAGTTGTGTGTGAAAGATGGTGTGTGACAAAGTTGTGTTGAAAAAGTTGTGTGAGTGAGATGGAGGCGGAGGCGGCGGAGGAGGAGGCGGAGGAGGAGGCGGAGGAGGAGGCGGGATACAGAATCAAAAACAAGAACCCCACACAAAGATGTGGGGAAAAAATGAAAGAATATGAAAGAGATGTCTTTCTTGTGAACTCAATGGAGTCAAGCGC